TAACGTTCATTTAATATATATTAATAATAATATTATTATTTAATATATTTAATAATATTATTTATTTAATATATTATTACATGTTGTCAAAAATTAAACCACCAAACGCAGTTTCAATTTTTTTTAAACTGAAATCAATCTCTGAATAAAACTACTAAACACATTTTTAGAAATAATTTTAAAATAAAAATAAAAATATTTTTATTTCTATTTTTATATAAAAAATAAAATTATTTTGAAACCAATTCTAAAATAGTATTAAAGTAAAAAAATATGTAGAGTAATAAGTTTCTATTACAAGTCTAACTATTGAAGAACATAAACTTATTAGTAATTCATGTTATAAAATTATCACATCTCAACTTAAATTTTAAACTTAAATTAATGAAATGAACGAGGCCTTAAAGAAAGAAAAAGGAGAAAAAACTCCAAACTCTTTCCAAGATCACCCTAATAACCAAAGGCACATTTAATGACAAATGTCAGAAGAAAAAAAGAAGGAAAGTAGGCATTGCAATTGCAGCTTTGAAACAAGAGGGTTAAAGAGTTGTGGGGATCGGCAGTGATTGGACTAATACATGCCGATCATGTTATGAAATTATCACATCTCAATTTAAATTTTAAACTCAAATTAACGAAACGAACGAGACCTTCAAAAAAGAAAAGGAGAAAAAACTGCAAACTCTTTCCAAGATCACCCTAATAACCAAAGGCACATTTAATGACAAATGTCAGAAGAAAAAAAGAAGGAAAGTAGGCATTGCAATTGCAGCTTTGAAACAAGAGGGTTAAAGAGTTGTGGGGATCGGCAGTGATTGGACTAATACATGCCGAAAACTCCTCGGTTCTCACTACTAAATGAGGCTTTTTAATCTTCCAAAGCTCTGACTAACTTACAATCTTACTGGTGCCATCAAAGTTAATCAGCTCCAGAAAAAAGGACACCTGGTTTTATGCAAACTTCTCAGTCTCTCATCACATGACCTGATGATATAACTTATATAATTTAAATTTTATTATAATAAAAAAAAATTAAAAATAATTGTATTTAATTTTTTATAATAAAAAATTCTAACATAAAATAAAATTACATCTTAACTCAAATTAAAAACTTGAATAGCAAACTAAACAAAAACTGTGTTAAAGTACACTCACCGTGTAAAGATTCATAATTCACAAAGATGGCCATCAACATAGATTTTGATTTTGGGTGGATCATATTCTCATCACCTTTAACTCGTTTTGGAATGTTCCCGTCACGGTTTCATTGGGAATTCTTTTAACGGAAGTTTTTATGGTGGAGTAAATTATTTTATTTCATCAATAAAAAATGTGTGTTTATTATTAAATTAATTTTTTTAAATGGTTGGATCTATAATAAAAATAGTTTTGTATAATGCATTGTAAATTTTTAATATAGTTATGCACACATATAATTATTAAAAAACTAATCCAACGGTTGAAGTTAACTGTTCTCTTTGGTAAAGCAAAATAGTATTCATCATGACAATGCGATATATAATAAATTTTATTAGTTTTATATATTTTTTATTTTATATTAATTTTATAAATATTCTTTGAACTTTGTATCTTATTTAACACGTCCTCTAAATTTTAAAATGATTCGTTTCGCCCCTTAAATTATGTACTATAGTTAAAATATATCCCATACATTTATAAAACTAATAAAATAATGACGCGACACTATTAACATTTTCATAACTGCTCCCTGAACCACTAATTTTAAGTTAATTTGTCTCTTAAGATATTACTTTTGTGTCAACTTGTTTCCTATAGTAGTGGAGCGAACCCTTTTGCCTAGTGGGGGAGAGTGTACATTTTAAAAAAAAATAAATAACATAAACATGTATAAGAAATTGTATTATAATATTTTTTAAGAACTATTAGATACATGTGGAGAATTTTACATTTGGGAAAAAAAAACCCTACTCCAGGGCTTGATCTTGAAAGGTTATTTTTATTTTTATTTTTTTTGGTAAAAGAATTGCTTGTTTTGCGTGTGCGTATATATATGTATGTGTATTTATTTATTTATTTTAATTTGATTTTAATAAAGATCTAACGTTTAAAATTATGCACTATAAGAATACTCTACCATAGAATTTTTATCTTTTCATTTTAATACTTTACATTTTGAGAATATAAAAAAAAATCATACCCTACATTTTAGATTATATTACATTTATAGCTTCATATTTTAAAATTATGCTCTATACTTATATTTTCTCGATCAACTGCCAATTTAATCACGGAAGAGATCCAAACAAACTAATAAAATAATATAATTGGGAAAAAGTTGCAAACGTTTAGAATATTAAAGTAATCAAACTCATCCAATGAGAGGTAAGGATTTAACATAAATATAAATTGTGATAATATAAATGTGATGAGGTCTAAAATATTAGGTACCAAAAAAGACATTACAATAACTATGAGTAAAATGAGTAAACTTGTTTATAAAAGAAATTTAGGAATAAAATAAAAAAGGCTGAAAATTAGTCGGGGCGTATATGAAACAAAAATTTTTCAATATCGGTAAAATAAAAAAAGTTAAATTTTTTAAAAGTTCAAAATTGAAGTTTTAAAAAGTGAGTGGGGGCGTCAACCCGCACTGGACACTATATACCTTTGCCACTGCCTCCTCATTTTTTAAAAGATCGAGGGACAATTTACACAAAATCAATACTTTAAGAAGTATTCATGAAATAATATTAGTTCAGGGCGTTTTGAACTATTTTTTCTATTTTAGGGAATGAAATGCATTCTCTTCAAATTTCAATGGCAAGTTGAAATAAAGTACAAAATTCGGACACGTTTATAAAATTAATCCTTAATATTTTAATGTTATATTAACTAAATTAACAAATTGAAAACAGACATTACTGGTAGAGTACTAGGAACCCTACGGTAAAAAGCTCTGGAAAAAGTGGACTTCAGTTTTTCTTTTTTGTTTATCATTGATTACAAAATTATGGCGTTAGTTTGCATTGACAGTCTTATTATTGGAGCCACACGGATTAACGATGTGTAAAAGAATTGCGTGTTTGGTTTAAAAATTCGTGTCATAATTCAAATTATGATTTATAATTCGTTATAATATTTTCTTTTACAAAAAATACACATAAATAAAAAATAATTCTGAATCTATCAACCGAACGTCTTGAAACATCCTTGGCACAACTCTAATGACTAATACCATTTACCCTCTTCAATGTTGCTCTACCTTTGGTTATATCATAGAATCCACACAGATAACAATAAGAAAGAAAATTGCAACGTACGTACTTAACACAACTCTTGTCTAGCATCCTCTTTGATATTAGACCATCTTATTCTTGGCGGCTCGTTCTTAAGATCCGTACAAATTTACGGTTTCGACGATTGCAATGCGAACAACCTTTAGCACAAGTCTATTTCTTCGCCGTTAGATCAAGGTGAATCGCATTTAAATTCCGCAAACTGACCGTGGAGAGCACGGAACATTTCTTTTGTTTCCCACTCTTGCTGTTCAGGATCTTAAATTATGTCCATACATTATCCAAACATGTATTAGGTTCCCATGCAAAGAGGCAAATTGTGGACCAAGTTCCAGCTAATTAGACAATGTCAACTAAATCAAAAGACCATTCATCACAACAACTACTTTAAAAGGTCTGTCTCGTATCCCAATAGGAGAGAGAATAAAAATGGCATTCTGATAGCAATTAACAGGGATGTAACGATGTTTACGTGGAGACTTCACTTTCTTTTGAGTTTGTGGAGCTTAATTCTGAAAGAATGAGGGTCACTGGGCAATGATCACTTCCATAAAAACCTGTAAAGAGTCCATCAAACTCAGTCGTACACTAGAGAAAAGCAAAAAACAAAAATAACAAATTAAGGGAGCTTTTTTCTAAGCATTAAATCTGGTTAAAAGCCCTTAAAAAAAAATACAAAACAAACAAAACCCGATATAGATAAGGTGGTTCAAAACATAGTGCTATTGGCAGGACATTTTCAGACACTACAGAAAAAGGGGGAGAGCTCTCAGGAACATAGGCTACTACTGAGGCACTCGTTTGATCCGATAAATTTTTTCAAATTTGTGTATATATATTTTGACGTGATTTTGATAAGATCTAATATTCATAGGCATGCACTACCGGCAGTGAGAAAAACAAAGCAGCCTTCAAATAGGTCTCTACCAAATTTGGAATTTTATTTTCTGATCCCAGTTTAAACTACTAGAAAGCCATTAAATTGTCCAACTCAAAATGAAAGGTCTCTCTGTCAGTCAGTCAGTCAGTCACACACCTTGTAATTCGATCCCTTGTCCATGCATCTTGCATTCAAGAATCCTGTCTTTGAGTTTCTCCGAGACAAGGAAATAGTCTATTCTCATCCTTTTGCCTCGATACCTGTGATGAAAAAACAACCCATTGAATGTCGTTTTTACATATTTCAGTGGTATGGTTAAAAAAAAGTACAAATATTGCAATGAATAAAAGGATTTCTTACTTTCCAATGGGGTGTCCAGACCATGAAAATCCACTTTCCATGTCTTTCTCTTTGTGCAGGAATCTATATGCGTCTATTAGCTTTCCTCTGAAGCATATCCACAAACAAAGTCATGTTTTTGTAACAACATTATGTTCTATATGAATAATTTGATTGTTATATCCCTCCTACATTCCCATCTCCCTCACTCTATGAACACATGTGGAAGAGTAATAATGCACAATAAGACTACTAGACAATTGATAAAATGAAAAAAAAGTGTAAAAAAGAAAAAGAAAAACAGTTTTTTTAGAAGGAAAAGGAGAAACGAAAAGGGAAATGGATGAGGACAGTGGAGAGAGTTAGAACAGCTGAAACATTTTGTGAGCTACTTTTCCACTTGTCTGACTGACCGTTAGAGCTTGGTCGGTAGGAGGGAAAAGTAGAAGGAGAGAGGCAAGTGGATTTATTCAAGGATTTTGAGACCCATAGTGATGCAGCGGAGTGGAGAAAGATAGTATTTTACCAGCCTAACCCGGACGGAAGACGAGGCATGCAATCCCAAATCTACCTAAAGAGATCCCTTGTGGGAAAACCCCCAAACTGGAGAGAAAACTCAACTTTGTATTCAATTATCAAAATATTCAAATCCCTCTATTACATTAGATAATGCGGCTATTTATAGTCCATTCACAAAAAGATAACAAAATACAAACTAAGGTAAATGACAAACTAATAATAAAATAAAGCTAAATTAGTAAGAAACCACAATGAAAATATAAACCAACTACTGATAGTTAAATTTCCTTACATCACATAGATGCTTGGTAGGAGAGAAAAGAGGAGGGAATGGTTTAAGTAAGGGATTTCAAATCCTTCAAAGAACCCAAATTTTCAGATCTCCCAATATGATGAGATTAGGGAACCAAACACAATTAAGAGAAACGTCATCTCTTTCCTCTCCATTTTCCTTACCTAGGTTATATATCTTTCTTTTTTTCCTAATTTTCTTTCCCTCTCACCAAACAAAGCCGTAGGCTAAAAGCAAATCCCATTATTATTTTTTTTACTTCTCTTTTTCTGAAACTGAAAATCCCATTTGTTAGTTTCACAATAAGAACTGCCAAGTAATAAGTGAAGGAAAGGAAAGGTAACATAACGCACTCTTTCAATATGTTAGCAAACCGCTTTCTCTCAGCCAGGGTAAATCCGGGCTGTCCACAATCCTGCGTCATTAGCAAATAAAAGTCAAAACCACCAATAATTTTTGTACGTAATTCTCAGCAATACACAATCTTAGCTATTTTGGTCTATCATTGTAATACAAACCCATGTTTGTGTCCTAAAAAAAGAAACTTCAACATCAGATACAATACCTCTTTATTTGGAGGAACATAACCATTAAGCTTAGCTGCACTAAAGAATTCCGGATGGCTCACATCAATCTCTTCATGGCTGCAAGCAAATTTAAATTTGAAGAGAAAAAGGTTACTACTAAAAAATACATGCACACTGATGGGCCTCCAAAGCCCCTATTGCGTTTCACTTATGCAAGGAGAAGGCCCAAGCTGAGTTGCACCCCTCGGGTGGGAGATGTTGACATGGAAGTTGGAGCTGGAGGAGGAGGGGCTGACTTGGGAAGTGATGTGGAAGATGAAGGGGGGCAAAGAGGCAGCAACTGAGTTGGCAGATTAGAGGGGTGCCATTGGAAGCACGAATTCCGGAGTGGGACCTTGGGATTGATGGAAGGATGAGTGAGACGGTTAGTTAATTAGAAGGAAAGATGAATAAAACAGAGAGAGGGAGAGAAGCGGGGATTATCGATCATCTTGTAATTGAGAATCTATAGGAGCATTAAGCTCTGGGGAGAGCAAGGGGTCTCTCCCCCATTTCTGTACTCTCTTTATTTTCTCATTACGACTTTCAATAAAGACTATTTGATCGATCAATTCCCTAAAAAATTAGCTTGAAACCTGTTCTCAATTTACTGGTTTTATCACACACAAGCATTCTATTTGGAGCAAATTACAAGGATATTTCAAGAAATATCCCCCCAAAAAAAAAAAAAAACTATGAAATCATATAATAGCCAAAAATATGTTTGCTATCCTAGTAATCAAGTTTTTACTTTCAAGTGACCAAGTTCTCCTTTTCGGCAAAATGTGATCATTATAGATGTAAGGTTGAAAGGCATACATGAACGCACATTGTGTCTGAACTTTTTCATATATATATATATATATATATATTACACTTTTTTCTTTCTTTTTATCCGGATTTATATACAGGAAATTAACCAAAAAGAACTTGGTATTAAGTTGGGGTTCATTAAACAGGTAAAGCTTTAAAAAAAAAATAAAAATGCAGGCCATCCTAAGATGATAAAACACCATCCAAACACCCAGAAACACTGACCTTACATTTAGATCACCGCACCATATAAGAGGCTTATCTGCAGACTGTGTAACAAACTCTAGCATCCTCTTATCCCATTTTCTTCTCCTTGGGAACGAGTTCTCCTCCTCTTTCCAACCATTGTTTGGTGCATACGTATTTAAGAAACGGAACGTCTCAAATTCAGCTAAGATAACCCGCCCATCTGTTTCATGCTTTGAAGCTAACAACAATGACAAGCGTATAAATTGACTGTTGTTCCATTGTACAAACGAATATTAAGAGGCTGGTATCAAGTTGATGCTTAGTACTTTGCTATGAGAAAAATAAGGAAGCTCATCTTAAGCTATGACTTTCAATGGGTTAAAGCTTCACAAAATAAGAAGATTTTAATATCTTAAAGCAACAAAATTCCGTGCATCGACGTACCCTTTTTGTCAAGATTGAAGAAAACCGTTTTCGGTTGGAAGCATTTCTTTACAACCAATGCAGTTCCTGCATACTTTGAATCCGAAAGAGACCACCAAACACGATAGTTTCTGAATGGTGGGGAGGACAAGGCACGCATCATTATCTGTAAAATTGTGACAAAAAAAGGGAAAACAAAAAAAAAACTTTATTATAGCAGTGCACTATACATAGAACATTTGAACTATATACATTCAATAGAAAGATTTATTTGAGCACAAATGGTAAGATGAAAAAGTATTTACCTGTTTCTCTTCGCGTGATGAGCTAGTATCATCTTTCAACTCTCCTGGGTTTTTAGGTGCACCTTTTGAACCAGCAGCAGGCATCCTCACTTCCTAACATTGATATGTGGTTAGAAGATTCTTGTCCAATTTTATTTCTTTGATTTACAACCATAATACAGTTTCTCATAAAAATATGTGTACTAACCATAGTGTATTAAATGGTCTAGCAGGGACAATACATCATGAACTAATAAACCAAAGTATAAGTATATGCCTTATACACGCTACCTCTTCCAATAGAAAGACATCAAAACATATGTGATCAAACAAACAAACAAACAAATCATAGCGGCCAAAAAAAAAAAAAAAAATCTTTCCAGCTAAATTGGGGCAAATGTGAACAATGTGCCACAATATTCTCAGAATCCCAAAACCACCAGCCTCGATCGTTTAGCTGATTCTCATTTTGCTGATCGAGTTTAGAATTTGAGTTTGCTACAGTAAAAAAACTCTAAAAGACAGTCACATTTAATTTTTTTGTTACAGTTAAAAACTCTCACATAAAATCACATCTTGAATTCTAAACTCGAATTAACGAAACGAACGAGGCAATCTCTCTTCAAAAAATTCAAAAAATCAAACATCTAAAATCTTACAGACCAAAATATCAACACCCCATGTCCCAAAACACAAAAACAATCAAACCCTTGAACTCCACAACCATGATCACATGCACATTCATCAAATTCTCTAAAAACCCAACACCAAAAAAAGTGAAAAAAAAAAGGTTCTTTAAAACAGTGTTGAGCATACTGAATCACCTGTATAGCAATGATATCAGGATCAAACCGAGTGACGAAGCTGGTGAACTCAGGCCAGTCGTTCTTGACGCGAAGGAGAAAACTGTTGGCGTTCCAAGTCATGAACTTGAGCGGCTCTTTCTTCGTAGCATCTCCTAAAGTTTCTTCATTCTCGCCGTCGCCGTCGCCGTCTTTCCTCGACGGAGGCGAAAGTGTTGGCTTCTTGGCCGACCCGTCCTTCGCCACTGGTTGGAAGTACCGTTTCATCGTCTTCAATCTGCGCTCCTCTGAGTTCCAATCGGCCTACAGAGCACAGTCCCTGTTTGTTTCATTTTATTTATTTTATTTTTTTCCCGTTAAATAGAGTAAAGAAGAAAAATTTTGGGATTGTTCACGAATTCAAATTTTTAATTTGAATTAATATATAATATTTTTTAAAAAATTTTAATTATAATTAGAAAAATTAAGTGTAATATTTTTTAAGAGTTTTTTATTGTAAAAATTTAAAATTAAAAACTCAAATCGGTAAAATAAATGAAACTTAAAAATTTTTCCGTGATGACGTTAGACTTTTTTTTTTTTTTTTAAGAGAATGTGATGTCGTTAGAAACTAACCTCTAATTTTTTATTTTTTAGGGAACTCGGTTGCAAATTTTTTTTATTTTTTGAAAATTATTTTGGTACCAATTTAATTCTTGTTTTAGCTTTAAAACTTCAATATTAAAGACAATAATTCTTATATTTGAAAAAAGTTTAAGCAAAACAAATAAGCAAACAAACAAGTAAACAAATGAATAAACGACAATATATGAAACAAACGACAAGAAAAAGGAAACGAGAGAAACGTGCAAAACCTTAGGAAACGGCATTAAATGAGAAACGTCGAAGATGAGTTAACGGCAATTAACAGGAAAACAACAATAAGACATGAAAGAGCAAAAGGAAACGAAACGAATGAAACAAAATGGGAAACGTAGAAAACGAGAATTAACATGAAACATAGGGGGAAAAGACAAAAATGATAACAAACAAGGAAACAATGACAAAAAGGAAAGCAAAATTACTTTTATATGACACGACAATAAACTATAAGAACAATAATTAACCGGAAACGACAAAGTTGAGAAACAACAACTAACGAATGAACGGCATCATATAAAACAAGCGACAGCAAATAAGAAAACAACTCAAAAGAAAAGCGACAGAAACGCGAAAAACGACGATTAAGAGGGAATGATGGAAATGAGAAAACGCCGCCAAATGGGTAGACAACAATCAGAAGGAAACGACAAAGAAGTCGAAATGAAAACCAGCAGATAAACTATAGTATATTGTTAAACGACAAGAAACGAAAGAAACAAACATTTGTATGGAATGAGATTTGACCGGAAGCATGGGATGGGAGCAGATAAAACGACGAGCGACAGAAAATAAGAAAACAACGCCAAAAAGGAAATCGAAACGATAATGAAGAGAAAACGACATAAAATTAAAAAACGACAATTAGAAGAAAACGACAGAGAAGTGGGAATATCCTCGAAAGATGTGGGCTTGGAAATCACTTTCTGGCCCAAAGAAGGAGAGAAATTTGTGATATTTGCATTGTGCACCTGCACTTTTTTTTTGTCGTTTCGACAAATGAAGAGAAAACGATACAAAATGTTAAAACGACAATTAAAAAAAGAAGTGGGTAATTAGTCTTGACTGCCAAACCAAAAGGCTCCTAATATCATGTGTGCTTGGAGATCACTCATGGGCCCAAAGAAGGGGAAAAGTTTGTGAAATTTGCATTTTGCAGCCCGAAAAAAAAAAAAAAAAAAAACCTTTTTTGTGGACCCCCAATGGATATCCAACTCCAACCACTTGCAAAGAGAGGCTCTAACCGTTGGTCAGTTGGGAAGTGAGAGGAGAGAGAGAGAGAGAGAGAAATCACAAAAATGGCGTCAAGTTCAACTACCATCTCTCTTTCCTTAGCTACAACAGCTTTAATCTCCCACCAAAGAACAACAACCTCCGTTGCTTCCACTCTCAAACCCCATGAAAGGACCTTATTACCACCATCTTCACTCCTGGGCACAAGTATAAACCTTGAAAAAACGAGCCTAAGACCAAGACCAATTACAAGAAGCAAGGAAAGAAACTCTAGCCATGGAGCCACTTGCTTGGCTTCTTCTTCTCCTCCTCCTCCTCCTCTTCCCTCGGCGCTTCTTTTCGACTGCGACGGAGTGCTTGTTGACACAGAGAAAGATGGTCACCGCATTTCTTTCAATGACACCTTCAATGAGGTAGAACAAAGCATTCTTTGCACTTTGTTTTGTTTTTGAAAATCTGGGTCTTAAATTTAAGTGAATAATTTGATTGGTTGTTGGGATAATTGGGGGGAGAAAGAGGATATTTGATTTTTATTATTGGGTTTTGATCGTTTTAGGAGATGGGGAAAATTAGCTTTCCTTTGCTTTGGTTTTGAATTTGATGATGTATTACCATCAATGTATAATGTATTACTGAATTAGTGACAATATTTTATTATTGATTTCACAGAGAGAACTGGGTGTTACCTGGGATGTTGAATTGTATGGTGAACTCCTCAAAATTGGAGGTGGAAAAGAGAGGTAATTTCTAATTTTCGGTAATTTTATTTTATACCCTGCATTTTAAGCTTAACAAGAATGTATTTTAATACCATGCTTTTTGACTGTTCTCAACATTATACTTTTGAAATATCATATCAAATCCAGAATGTATACTAATACCATCCACTTAGATTACTACCTTTACCATTTAAAGATAATCATTAATTTTCATATAAGATGTTCATTAATTTGTTCAACTTCTTCCTTCTATACCACACAACTAGTAAAATGGTTATTTAAGTGGCCAACATTAGCACTTTAACAAAGAGAAGGTAATGCATGGTATATATTTGTAATGGAACTTAAGATGCAGGGTATAAAATAGTACTTTGACTGTTTTCAACTAATGTTGGTCCTGCAAAAAAAAAAAAAAAATTATGATTTGGATTTATGAATACTCAATAGAACTAGAAAGTGTCAACTTTTGTTTCTTTTATATAATCTGTCTGTGTGTTGCATAAAAGTTTTGAAGTTAATTAGTAATCAATTGATATTGGCTGTTGTAGAATGACAGCCTACTTCAACAAGACAGGTTGGCCGGAAAAAGCTCCGAAGAGCGACGAAGAGAGAAAGGAGTTCATAGCTTCACTTCACAAGAGAAAGACAGAGTTGTTCATGGTTCTCATTGAGAAAAAACTCCTGCCTCTTCGACCCGGCGTAGCCAAGTTTGTTCTTATCTAATCTTCTATTATTTAGCTCTCAATGATGGCATGTTATATATGTACATTCTCCTCTTCATAACTCATGTTGCGAGTCAATCTTGAAAGTACTTAGCAACACAGTTTAGTAAAATTTGAAGTTTGAATGTGTACAGTTCTTGAAATGAATTTGTTTTCTTTTTATTAAATTGTACAGGCTGATTGATCAAGCTTTGGCAGAAGGAGTCAAAGTTGCTGTCTGTAGCACTTCTAATGAGAAGGCGGTATATTCGGGTTCAGAAACTGTTATTTCTTATTGTGATTAATATGCTTTCACTGAGATTAGTTTAACTTTTTCAAATAAAGTCCGTATCAACTTATCAATCGTGTAGTCAGCTTAGTAGTATTTCATTGTATCAATTTTCATTCAACATACAGATTTATCAGTTTTCATAATCTTCTTGTGTGATTTAGTATATAAGTGAATTGCCAATCAGTAGTCTTTACTATTAGTCAGCTTATTAGTATCTCGTTGTCTTCTTGTGATCATTTACTATGACATGATGTTGAATATTTAAGGTCTCTGCAATAGTGAGTTTTTTGTTGGGACCCAAGAGGGCGGAGAAAATCAAGATATTTGCTGGAGATGTTGTTCCTCGCAAGAAGCCTGATCCGGTAAATAATATCACTCTGTGGAGTTTACTAAGGATGGTGGTTATGTAGAATTTTATGACAATCACACGATTCAGATTTAATCATGGAGTGAGCTAAACATTGTCTTGCCTTGTTCTTAACTACTTATTGTCGCATGTATGAATCATAACGCGCTAAGTTTTATGGTATCAGAAAAAAGTAATTTCCCTCCCTGTTTCTTTCGGTTTATTTAGCACTCTCATTATTTTTTAGTCCCTAACACACTTTCCTTCTTCATGTCAGGCCATTTACAATCTGGCAGCCAACACCCTCGGAGTCGATCCTTCAAGGTATTGTACATAATACTAGAACCTAGACTATGTACAATGCTACAGTAAAGTTTTCCTCAATTCAATGAACTTGAAAGATCTGTTTACATGTCGGTTTCTTGCCTAGTTTGGCTTGCCATGTGCTGCAAATTCTGTCCATATCAGCTTTGACATTTCTATTGAACTTCTAAATGGTTTTATCATATTTTATATATCTTGTACTTTGGCGAACCAACCTAGACTTTGATGGTTGACACTCCTGTTTCCACCAAGACATTGCGATTTTTAACAAAAAATGATGGTCTCTTTTGTTCTTCTACTTCTTACAGTTGTGTTGTGGTAGAGGACAGCGCTATAGGCCTTGCAGCCGCCAAAGCTGCCGGAATGACATGCATAGTGACTAAAAGCGGGTACTAAATTTTCCTGTTCAGACCGACCACATTCTGTTGTTATCAATAATACTTTGCATAGTGACATGATCTATTATATTCAGTGCTTCCTTTTTCTAGTTCTCTTCATTTGACCAATTTCACATTGATTCTTGGCACATTTTTTTTTTTTTTTTTTGGGGCAGATACACAGCAGATGAAGACTTTTTGAATGCTGATGCAGTTTTCGACTGCATCGGAGATCCCCCAGAGGAACGGTTTGACTTGGCATTTTGTAGAAGCCTTCTTGAGAAGCAATATGTAAGCTAGCCACTATGCAAGTCATGTTAGTTCTTTCATCTCTCTCTTTTTTTTTTGGTTGGGTCCTTCAAAAAGCCTCTTCTAATGAGAATAATAATATAGGGCGTTTGTATGGATGCGCAAGTCTAATCCAGGCCCTTTAAATTCCCACGGTCTGTGGTCTATTATTGGAATCTTGACCTGAAAATTCTTGTGTTTTACTGGAGGTAGTAAAAGTTCTCTTTCACAATTTTTGCAAAGCATTCACTGGAGTGGAGAGTATGGTCTTATGGACATCATATTTTTTTACTTATTAACAACTATGTAACAACATGCTTTCAACTATATGTTATGTACTTTGGACTTTTTAGGAACTTAGACTTCTATCTAATTAAAAGGTCAACCTCTTAATATGTGACTCGGGTTTCTTTTTACCTTTATTATATGTAATAATATGCTTCAACCCTATGATTAGCCTAGAGATGGAAAAGAAAAAACAAATAATAATAATAATAAACGATCCACAAGGCTTTCAAGAAGTCCAAGCTCAAGTTTTCACCTGGCAAAGGTTAGCGCTTTGCAGGTGTTTGTTCTTGAATTTTTAGCCTGAAATTGGAGCAACAGTATCTGGATAGGAAGACAAAATCCAGTAGAGAATCTTACCATTCGTCCTTTTCGGGTTAAAAACGAATGCTTAAGGTTTTATTGTTATACGAAATTATGTGCGTGTTTGGAACCGTTTTTGAAAATAATTTTCACGTATTTTGAGAAACAAAAAAATGAAAATAGAAATGAAACAACATATGTTTAGTAAATGTTTTGAAAACGGAAATGAAAACGAAGACAATGAGAATGATTTTTGTGAAAGAATTAAAAAACATTTGAAAGTTATTTTCATTTTTCTGTTTTCATTTTTTAGTACTTATCAACAATATTATAATATATTAATTAATAAACACGATTTTACTTTTCTATTATACTCATAACAATCTCTTAAAAAGCCAACCAAACGTAAATTTAAAATTAATCCCAGACTGATTCTCAAAACAATCTTCAAAACAATCTTATTTTTACTTTTTATTGAAAATAAAATTATTTTAAAACTAATTCTAAACGCATATAAACTAATGGTAGATATATTTTCACATGTATATAATACTTTGTATAATTTATATGTTTATGGGTTAGATACATATTTACTTGGCACTGGGTCTGCCTTTTTTTTATAGACTGCATATAGATAAGAGATTACTGTATTAATTGGGCAAAAGCTAACGATAAAGCTTTCAATCCTGAAGAAATAATGTCGTTTTTAAATTAAAATTCTGGGAATATGAACGATATGTCGTTTCTCAATCGGGAATCGTTTCAGACGAGCTTTTGCTGGTAAAGTTGTCGTTTACCCTTTAAAGAGAAACGGCGATACACGAATAGTTCTCCTCAAAACAGTTTTCTTAGCCGAATATGGTAATTTTTAAAAATATCTCTTAAAATAGAACCCTTTATATTTTTTCTTTTAATATTAATCCATATATTTTTATCTTTTAGATTAGAATTAGTTAAGTAACAGAGTTTTTTAAAAGATAATATTTTTAGTAACTCATATACTTAAAAAATAATAAAATCTGTAACTTTCTCATAAAAAATTTATATTTTAATAACTCAGATACTTAAAAAAAAAAAAAAAATAGTATATGTAATTTTCCCAGAAAAAAATTATATTTCGCTTAAGACGCAATGTCGTTGTCGTCCTTGTTTGTTTTTACTATAAATAAGTTCTCTATACATTGTTTCCTCTAACATAAACGACGTGATCTCTCCCTCTTTACTAAAGAATAGAGATAAAATTATTTTGACAGCCTGTATAGTAGTGAAACATGCTTTTAATATCTTATATATTTTTTTTATAATATTAAAAAAGTATTTCGACATTTTTAAAAATATCTTTTTTAAAATTAATTTATAGAACGTTAAATAATTTGTGTCTTTTTATTTACTTAATTAAAATTAATAAATTTAAAAATTTAAAGGGTTAATTCCACAAATGATTCTTGAGGTTTATCTCTCAATTTATTTTGGTCCTAACTTTTAAAATGTTTAACAGTTGATCTTTGAGATTTTACTTTATTTTAATTTCAGTCATTCTTCTAACTAAATGTTAAACATTTGACGGAATCTATATAAATTAAGGACCAAAATTAAAAACAGTTAAAATTTAAAATACTATTTGTGGAATTGAGAGTAAATCTCAAGGACCATTTGTAAGATGAACACAAATTAAAAAGAAAAGAAAACAGCAGCTTTAAATATCTTCAATTAATATCGTTGGAAAAATGGCTTGTTAAGTCATTTTAAAGGCCATTTTGAGGTCCATATTCGGATGGGGCCCAATAGGTTTTTAGGACGGGTTTCGATGGATTTGCGTTCTCTGTTGCGAGGAGATCAAAATCGAGTATTCATACACTCAAAATGGTTTTTGGATAAATGAGAAATTGATGGTTTAAATATGTTACTTGGAATGGTAAATGTAGAAGAAAATTGCAACTCTTATTTTCGAGTTTTGGTAACAAGGTTGAATTATAATTGTATGAATTTCGGTTTTGTTCTTCCTTAACTTATTCATCTTTTTGTATTATCTACTATTTCGGTTAACAAATATGATTACCGTTACACATACAGAGATTATCTATATGTATGCATTGCCATTGCCATTGCATTCGCATTTGTATACTCTCGTCAGTGGACTGGAGGACCACCAAGCAAGCAATAACTGACGACAAATTTGCAATCCAAAAATTGAAACACACACACAGATGAGGCCCAAATTTCAGCAGCACCCAAATTTCAGGAAATGACAAGGGACTGTAAACAAATATACAACTATACAAAGGATGGCATGGCAGACATATAAAATTGAAACGCGTATGTTAGAGCGAATCTAACACAAGATTCAGATTTGAACCAGAAATTCACAAATCAATAACACAGAAGTTTTATCAAGGTTCGGATAAAATTATCCTACGTTCTCGTGAGTTCCTTCACAAGAACTCGTTCTACTAGATTGAAGAATGTATACACTCTCAAGAACTCTCATACCCAATTCTTAGAAACAATTACAAAGACAAACCTCAGTATTTTCTAGAAAGAATACCCGAATACCCAGTGAGTAAATCGCAACATACCCAGATTCTCTCAACACCTCAGAACACCGAAAATCTCTCAATCTCTCTTTTGACAATAAATTGTTTCTCTCACTACAATCTTTGAGTCTCTCTCTTTCTCTCTCTCTAGCTCTGTAATCTTTTTTTTTTCATCATCCAATAACACACAAAATAATAATAATAATAATAAAAATAAAAGAATTCCTGACAAAAATCAATTAAACAAAGTTTTAGAATAATCTGTCTATTTTTTCTGTAGGAGAAAATAAGATTGTTCCTTTTTTTTTTTTTTCCCTTGCAAGTGATAGCTAACTTTTTTTTGCTTCATCCAATAACACAATAAGGTAATATGCACATTGTAAAATTTTGGACACTTTTTGTTCTAGCACTGCGCCATAACCCCAGTACTTTGTAGTAAATTTTAGAGGCCACATGTCACCAAATTGTTTATCCACGGCTTTCCGATATTATTATAATCATCATTATCATAATAATAATAATAAAAGAATCCAGTAACAAAGCACATATACGACAGCGTAATAACATGCTCGTCCACTCTCCTTTGGATCTTTTCTGGGTGCATCCACAAACTGCCATATTACACATCCAGAGATTATATCTGTGTGTGTATATATATATATATATATATATATATATCATATAGCCGTTTGATCAGTTAAAGCTTGGAAGTTTGCTTCTTGTCCTTTACGTATATGCCTGCAATAAAGCTGAATATATCCTTCAACACGCCAAACGGCTAGCTAGAACGTGAACAAGAACTTAACAGAATTACAAATCTCTCACGAACACTCCTTTTGGTCTGCTATATATATATATATATTTATATATCATGAACTTAAAAAGAAAAGAGAAGATTGATCTGACCTACCATAGAATGTGCGTATGTGAAATATACATTTTTCTAATGTTCTTGAAATTGAAGTAAAAGTCCTATCCGGAGTATCCTTTTTGCTGTAGAGGTACTGTCAAAAATTGCAGAGATGAGAAAAGCATAAAACTACTCTTTTACAATAGTTGCCTTTTTCTAATATTGATCTCTTACTCATAACTCCCATTATTCTCTCAAAATAGATCAACTTAAATAAATTAAAAGCAAAAGGGACAATACTGAACACAAAAGACAATATTTATTTCACACTAATTTTTAAGGGTCAATTTTAGAACAATTTTTTTTAATTTTCTTTTCCTACTAATATAGTATCTGTTTTTGCATAATGATAATCATAGTATATGGGTTTAAGAAAATAATCTGATAAAAGAAACATCTACAACCAGTAGGATAGTTTAATCCATCATAGAATTCATATGAACAAAAAGAAGAAGAAATTAAATTCTCTGATACCATACCAAAACACACATCCTATTAGTATCTCAGCTTTCAATGTTAAGAATCATCAGAGCCTATCAAATTGCATGATACTCATTAACAATACTGTAGAAGAATATTAAAAAAAAATGAAAAATAAAAACATATTACAACGTATAAAAAAAATATTACAACGTGAATTTAAAAAAAAAATATATTAATGTTTCATCTTCTTCCGAAAAACGACTTCAGTGTCAAGCCCAAACCCATCAATCTCCCTAACCTCAACAAGATCAGACCCTTTGAACAATTCCACTAACGGGCCCACACTAAACAAGTCATTCGCCGAGTACTTATCCGCCCGTTTAGATATTGCCACGTGTAAGGCGCAGACCCCGCCGGGCTTCAGCGTCCGTTCGATCTCCGCCACGAACTTCCACGGGTAAAGCGCGTGGTCGAACACGTTCGAGAATTCGAAGTCGAACGTCTCGTCGGCGAAGGGCTGCGCGTGGAAGTCACCCGCCGCCACCAGAGGCGGCCTGGGGACGAGGTCGATGCCGATGGATTCGGAAACGCCGACGCGCCGGAGGGCGGCGACCTCCTGGCCGACGCGGGCGCCGAGGCAGAGGGAGTTGGAGGAGTTGGAGAGGAGGCGGCGGCGCGTGAGGCTGGAGAAGAACTCGGAGAAGACGCGGACTTTGCGGTCCCAGTCGCGGGTGGTCCAGATTTTGCGGAGTTTGGGATTGAGGGTTTTGTTAAGCTGGTGGTGGATGTAGGATTCGTAGGTGGGGTAGCGCCGTCTGATGCGGAGGTCGGCGGTTGATGATGATGATGATGAGTTGATTAATGACAATGGAATATTGTTTGTGGATTTTTGGAGGGAGGCGTACGGCGTCGTTTTCGGGTGAACAGGCTGGGTTTGGGAGGACAGGAAGGTGAGGAGGAAGGCGAAGGAGAAGAAGAGGGATAAGAGGAAGGGCTTGAGGAGGAGGAGGGGTTGTTTCGGAATGTTAATACTGCAGATTTGCATGGTTCTGCATGCAATATATTACATGCAATGCAAAGGAGAGAGAGAGAGAGAGAGAGAGAGAGAGAGAGAGAGAGAGAGAGAGAGAGAGAGAGAGAGAGAGAGAGAGAGAGATTTTATTGATTTAGCATGTTTGTACGTGACTTGAAGATGCTTTGTAATGGTTGTGGCGTTTAACTGCATTGTAATGTGACTATGTGAGAGAGAGAGAGAGAGAGAGAGAGAGAGAGAGAGAGAGAGAGAGAGAGAGAGAGAGAGAGAGAGAGAGGTGTTCGTGGGATGGTCTTGGTATTGCAATTTTAAGATAGATATACATATATGTTATATCTGCATGCGGCTCACGTCTTCCCAAATCCCATTCCATGTTTTCATTTGGATAAAAACTAATTTCTTCTTTTTTTTTTTTTTTTTTTTAAAAAACTTAAAAACCAATTTCTTTTAAGCTATGGGAAAACCAATTATTATCATTTGGAAAATGTTGCTTTCTTTTTCTCCTTTTCTTTTCTTCACTTTTTTTTTAAACAAAAAAAAAAAAAGGCTTAATTTTCTCAACTAGCATTTTGAAGAATAACAAATAGAGGGTTTAAAGTAATGAAACGATCTGGCATCAATGTGTGGCTCACTTCAATTCTGAGCATCAAGTTGCATCATTAAAGATGACCTGTATATTACCAATTTACCATATACATGTGTGTGGTTTTTCTTCTTTTAATTAAGCATACACGTTACGGTTTATCCAAACATCTAGGCATAAGCTACAAAAACTACATAAGCTTACTACATTGAGCTTAAATTAAACCGAGTAAAATACACATTACAACAATAAAGTACAACGGTACATATAATCAACAACCAACAAAAGTTGTGTGTGGCTATGTGCTCCTGCTCGAACAAGCAGGTCGAGGAATGCCATTCGAAGCTTCAACTTTTGTTGCAAAATCCGACTTGTGAAGCATTTGCTGCACAGAAATAGCGGGATGTAGTTAAGCCACCAAGACCAAGCCCCACCAAAAATCCTATCAAACTTGTGCATTCCGTTGGTCTAGCTAAAGCTGGTCGAGGATGTTTGTAGAGGAAAGAACGGGTAATAGTTGTGTTAGGTCAGGGTTGTCGCCATCTGTAATGTCTGCAATATTCTGTACAGCCAAAAACGGATCACCTGACGATGGTACTGACCATTGGCCAATGCTGCTCAGGCCTAGTGAAGTTGCCATGTTCGGAATTGTAGGACGACTTGAAGGTAGTGAACCTTCCACCAAGCCCGTTGTGGAACTCTGTTTGCAGCGTTATATCTACCACCTTTTTCCTGTCAAGTCTGACTACAGCCGGCAGACGAAAGAAAAGGCTTGTAGGTTAGGGAGTAAGATCACATGAAATAAAGGTTATTGGGTTTCGATGCCGCTTTAGAGCCCTAAGCCAGTGTTGAGAAAGAAACTGTCCACCTTTTCTTGTGTTGTTCGATCTTGAAGATAGATGTCAGGAAAAACCTACACACAATCGGGACATTGCTGTTGCTTTAATGATGTTTGACTTGGCTGCATCCAGCAATGGGTCTGCGTGGAGGGCTTTATCAAAACAGAACTTGGCTTCCTCCCACTGACCTTCAGCAACAAATACGAGACCCAGATTGTTATATGCAGGAGCGTAGCCAGGTCGGAGTTCCAGTGACTTTGAAAACATTGCCTTAGCACGTTCATATTTTTTCTGCTGGCGGTAGAGATTCCCAAGGTTGGAAAATATGGTGTATGCATCTTCAGTTGTTGCCAATGCCAATGCCCGCTTGTATACTTCTTCAGCTTGTGACGGCTCATCCGACAGTTGTAGTGAGATACCTAGTGATGCAGCTATGAATATTAGAGAAAATTATGATTATAAAGGAACAGAGGGACGGGGGAGGATGGAGATTTGACAAACCTAGATTTGACCACGCATAGCTGCAATCCTTAAAACGAGCAACCGCAGCTTTGAGATACTTCTGCGAGTTCTTGAATTGTCGAGTGCAGAGGCTGTGGAGGCCTAGCTGGTGCCATTGCACAGGATCATCTGGATCTTCAGTGACTGCCTGGAAAGAAATATAGAAATTAACCTTGGTACTATTCATTGGCTGGAAAAACAATCTTACATATACCATAGTCTTACTACAAGCTCGGTTCTTACACTCAAGACGTTAGTTCAAGTCGTGCCTAATAGGCAGGAATTACCTGCTTTAAACTGTAGACAGCACGATCTTCCACTTCCAACAGCACGTTCTGTTCAGTTTCAAATGCAGCAGCAATCTCGTGTTGCGCCTTGTGAACCAATGCAAGCCCTGCCCATGCTATTGGAAACTCAAGTAGAGCAGAATCTCCATCTCTTATTATGGACGCCATTTCATTTCCAGCCAAAGAAAGCTGTTCACTAGGATCTTGAGACCTTTCTGCATCCTTGATCCGGTGGATTGCAACAGCATATCGAGTAGACATGCAATTAGGCTCCAGTTTTGCTGCCTATAGAGCAAGAGCAACAGAGAACAGTTTAAACCAAGTGTATAGCAAGGGAAGCAAATAAAGAAATTAGAAGCCAACAAAATCAAAGTCGCAGCATGCAATTATCCTTTTCAAAATGAACAGGCAGAGAACCCCCAGCAACCACGCAACAAATATTTTGTGTTACTGTACTTTTACAAATACATAAAGAGCAGTTATGTGTCACAGTTTTCCATCAAGAGCGAGGAAACCAACGAACAATCTTAAGAAATAAGCTATAAATGACTGAAGCAATGAATTATGAGCACCTTCTCCAAGCACTTGCTGGAACTTCTATGATCACCAATCAGGTAATATGCATTAGCAAGATTAGCCCATAAGTGTGCTGCCCTAGGATCTGCCTTCAAGGATGCTAACAAACATTCTTTTGCAACATTGACAGCTGTAATCTGATCTGCAGAAGCACATTCTCCACCATTTGCCCCAGCACCTGTGAATTTAGTGCAAGAGAGCAACGGTGAAGAAAATTTGTTCAACCAGCTACATAATAAAAGAGACAGCAACGTTCTACAATACTTTGGTATCGGCACAAGAAGTAAAAAATGATAAAACTTCCTACAAGAGTTGAAGACATCAAATGCATACCTGCAACAACTGAGCCATGTTTACACAAAAGAAGGGCGGCATAATTGATCAAAGCTGCCGGATGATTTTGATCTTTGAGGATTAACTCTTGGAAACACTTTTCTGACAGCTCCAAATTTCCACTGACAGAAAATTTAGGTATTCAAATGTAAGAGAAACATAAATTATGAAATGTTGAAAAGTTTCAGTAAAAAAAGCAACAAAATTGGTTTCCACACATGAGATTGACAAAGCATTTAATTTTGATATGCTCTCACCCAATAATAAATTCTCCATAAAGGTTCTTACCATCTAAATTAACAGCTCTTAGCGACTAAGATCAAAATTTTTCAATGTGCTTATTTTTCTTGCTTCAAATAGCAATTTCTTCCGTTGTTTCTTATCAGCTATAATAGGCATGATGGAGAAATTAGCTAAGTCTTAACATATTAATACACAAGAAATAGCGATAGAATATACTCTTACCTCTGAAGGTAAGCCATCCCAAGGTTCCCAAGGCAATCATAGTTGTCAGGAGTAATAGCCAACAAAGATGACAAAACTGCAATAGCACTCTGAAGTGTACAATAAACTTCAAGTCAAATGGTGCAATGAGAAAAATGTAACTTTGAAAAACAACAATGTCCAAAGTCTTGTACCTGCAAACGACCAGTTCTAAGAAGTATCAAGCCAAGGGTATTCCAAACAGCTGCCTGCCTGATATCTGATTGTATTGATTCTTTCAGTTTTGAAAGAATTTCCTCAAGCTCTTCAGGTTCAAGTTCATTATCCCGACTACTATCCCCTGAACTTTCTAATAAAAGGCACTGCATAGTATAAAAAACATGTCAATTTGGATTACCCAGCGCACTTATCATTCAATTTTAGTTTCTTTTCTTTTCTATTTTTAATTTACAGAAACAGAATGCTTGTTAATGATGCAGTGTACAATATAGATAAAAATTACAGTACCTGTGCATGGTGGATTTGAACTAGTGAAAGTAAGTCTGGTCTGTCAATCTCTGTCTCTGGACGAAGCAAGATCTCTGCTGCCTTCTCGTATGCCAAGACTGCCTAAAACATTTTACAACTTAATGAAGACGGCATGCACTAGAAAAAGAATGAGTTAAGAGTTTAAAAAGTTACCTTTGATGGTTGGCCCAACCTTTGATACATTAGGCCCAGAATAAAATGAGCATGAGCATTTTTTGGCGTCTTTCTTGAAACATGTACCAAAGCCTATAAGCATGCACTTAAGAATGTCAAGTAATGAAGCAGTCATATACAGGGCATCCAACAGTAGGGACGTGTCAGAAGCTCAAAACTGAGGTGTGTCAACTAAAGTGATGTGGTCATGTTGAAGAAGCCTTAAACATAACTTGCATAACTTCCCGTTTTTTGCTTTGCCACTACTACTATTATCAGAATGGAGAGAACAACACACGACAATCGCACCGGAAATATAACCACCACAGTGTTCGATGAATTTTAATATGGTGAAAGGCTGAAAGCTACTGCCCATTCGTTTCATAGGTTTGAACCACAATTCAAACCTTTTTGCCACAGTGTTTTCTCTCACAAAAATTTGAATTCTGTTCAAACTTATGAACCAAAGGGGCCACAAGTCTGTTTCCTATACATCACAATTCACAGCTTCTATGACACAAGTGTGTCAGTTACTTTCCAACATACAGGACCGGCTAGATCAATGCACTTTGATAGTAGGAACTATGGAATATATTAATGCATAATACTATAAAAATTCCAGTAATCCAGAAGGGAAACCAAGGCTCACTGTCTTAAGGCTGCTGACTCTTTCCTCACGAGACGAGGGAACCCCAGGAGCATGCAAATCGCCATCTGCATCAGCTCCACCATCAAGGAGGGACTCGGCCTTAGTTCTCGAACGGCATCTTCCAAGCTTGTTTAGCCTCTTCCCTTCACCTTCTACCATGTCGTTGTCCTTACAAACTACTGTACTCTTATCTTGACTGCTTTCATCAATTGCCAACCTAATTTCAGCATCAAACCACTAATAATCATTCAATCTCAACAATAATCTTATCTCTACTCATTCCATCAATTTCTAACATAAATTCAGCACAAACCAAAACTAAATTTGTCATTACCGATTCTCAGCTCGTCAAATCATCGCCAACAAAACTATAAGAAAACTCAAAAATCGCAACTTATTTATCGAATGCAACACGAGAAACCAAAAAGGAACAATATTGAACAAAGCAATCTTCATTTCGTATCGAGAATTTCTCGAACAACAAAATCAACAAGCTAAAATTGTTGCAAAACCGTATAAACGAATCACAGATTTTGATCATTTCCAGTAAAAGATGAGACTAGGTTGAAGAAGAGAGAGAACCTGGTGAAGTCAGGAGCTGAGGAGGGGAGAGAATCGCCGCCATCGGTTTCAGGTGGATCGTCGTTTAGGTCGGCCAAAACGACAATCTTGGGATTGGGAGGCTGAAGCAACTTCGAGGTGTTATCAATGGAGGTCTCCGTCGTTTTCAGCTGTGCACGCTCGAGCGCTTCAGACATATTTATCTTTGTGTTTTTGCTTTCACTGCCGCAGCTATGAAGTAGAAGAAGACAAAGAAGCAAACCTGAAGAAGGCGGAAAAGGCGTCGTGAGATTTTTCACTTTTTTGGTTTCAGCGGATAAGGTTTGGTGAGCTGGGCTTCTGTTTCATTTTGGGTTTTAAGGCCCAGAATTTGGCCCTATGGTTGTCAGGATCCCTCAAAAAAAAAAAAACTAAATAAATACGGAAATAATTTGTTCTAGTAAATGACAAATTTTTTCATTAATAAAAATTCAAATATATTGAGATTTATTGATACTGTGAGATTTTATGGAAATTTTAATTAGTAAATAATTTATTTATTAAGAAAAATTATAATGAGTGTTTTAAATAAAGAACTTAAAAAGAACAGTTTATTATAATTAATAAAAAAACAGATAACAGATATATTCGGTGAATTTTAGGTAATCAAACATTCACTGAATTTTAGTTCATAGATATTTTTATTGATATGAAACTTATTTATTATTTTTCAGTAAAATATTAAATAATTTACTTAAACAATAAATATGAAAATTTTATAAAAAAAACAATCACTTTCTTTTTTATGAAAAAAAAAAATGATCATATTCTTATTTAAAAGATTCAACTATTTTTCTAATAGAACTTTCTCTCTGAAAAGGACATTTTCAAATACTTGTTAAGAAACGTGGGTTTCTTATATTGTGAGCCACATATTTATTTAGTAATTGTATTAAGTTATTTAATTAATCGGGCTAATTGAGTGATTTAATTATAAAAAGCTCAAATAGTCTCCTAACAGGGTATAGGCTGAATGAGTGGATATATTGACCCAACTAGATTTAATGGGAGCCTAATGGGGCAGTATATAAAGAAACTTAGGTCATGGTTCCCAAGACGTCAAATCATACGACAATTTTCATTCTTTGAAAACACCCCATTAAGGAACTAAGGAGATTTGACTAAGAAATGCAATAACTGTCGTGCTCGTTGTCTTAGAGAATTCTACTAGAGATTCAAGGCTGCACCAATGGAGACATGTATTTGTTCTAACCTATTTTCTTGGTAATTTGGTGTGATGACTCCTGGAATGTGGAATTAGGATTTAAAGATCCAACAAGTGGTATCAGAGAGGTCATCACATTAAATTATTGAGAGAATTTTTATCTCCAATATCTCTGGCTGAATATCATGTTGATTGATTCATATGATTTTTCTTTTGTTTATAGAATTTTAGATATGCTTTATTTTGTTAAGAAAAGCATGTATATAAATAATCGTATGAATTCTTGGTGATTGATTTCAATCAATATTTGTTGAATAAATTCAGAATTATTTATTATTCACAAAATTGATTATCTGGAAAATTAGGGATTAAGAAAATTTGGTAAAAGAAAGTTTTTTCTTCTTCTGGAAATTTTTTTTTTGTTCTTCGTTGTCTTCTCCTTTCGGAGAAGAATTATGGCCGGCGGCAGCCTTGGCCACCGGCGCTACGGAATCAAGGGTACGGCCGTTGGGCCGCGCCGACGAGGTAGCTATAGCCTGGTGACCGCGGCGGGATGTAGACTAGCGGCGGCCAAGGCCGCCGCATAAGGAAAAGATTAAAAAAAAAAATTTGTTGCCGGCGGCAAGCTTGCCGCCGCCGGCATTTGGATTCCCAGGTGTAGCCATTAGGCTGTGCTGGACAGTTATTGCCGTGACTGACCAGTTGCGGCATGGGGATTGGAGGTTTGGCGGCCGCCAATGGAGAAGAAGGGTCGCAATCGCAACCCTAGGGATTCACAATTATAGGATTTGGCCCATAACTACAAAAAAAAACAAAACAAAAAAAAACGGCATGGGCTCATTTGGGGCCTGTGATAAAAGAATGGACCACAGGCCCATATTGGGCCTGTGATTTAGTATAAGGGCCGCAAGCTATACCTGCGGCCATAAAGAATAATAATTGCCAAAATTGACAATTATGGGTTTGTTTTAAATCTAATTTTGGAGATTTTGGGCTTTTTTAACCCATTAACAAATTAAGTGCAAATGAATTAAGGATTCAATTGAATAGAATAAAATTCCGGTTCTTTATTTTGTTTTATTTGATTATTATTGCACTGAATTGTCTTATATTTTGAAATAAATTGATTGAAATAATAATGTTGCCAAAGTAACCTCTGTTGTAGATGTTGATTTGTTTTAAAATATAAAGATGAGTATACCTATTATTTATGCGAATAATGATCGGCCCAAAGGAAGGTTATTATTTGGCCGAATAATGGGTATACCTATGGTAATAAATATGTGACAATTATAAAGCTCTCAATGTGAGCAATAGTCGGCCTAAAGGAAGGCTATTGTTTGACAGGATTTATTGTCAATATTTGATTACTGTGCGGAGAGTACCACTTACAAGTTGATATTTCTGGTCCAAAGACTAAATATCAGTGTTGTGTTAGGTATCTTGAAATGGGCCTACCACCTTGCTTCGAGTTATTTATTTATGTCATGTATGTATTATATGGTTGATTATGCTTATGTATGACGTGAATGTTGATTGTGAGTATATATATATTTTTATTCTATATTTAGTTTCTACTACTACTGTGAATATTTCTGCTCAAGTTAACGCAATCCCAATGCTGAATGGGACGAATTTTAAAGTTTGGAAAGAGAACGTGAAAATCGTTCTCGGATGTATGGACTTAGACCTTGCGCTCAGGACAGAACGTCTCACTGCTACTACGAAAAATCTGAACACAGATAAAATTGAGAAGTGGAACCGCTCTAACCACATGAGTCTAATGATTATGAAACGCTCCATTCTGGAGGCGTTTCGGGGCTCTATTACTGAGAGCACTAATGTTAAGAAGTTTCTCAAAGAACTTAAGCAATATTTTGTCAAGAATGAAAAGTCAGAAACGAGTAACCTTCTGAATAAACTCATTTCCATAAGGTATAAGGCAAAAGGGAACATAAGAGAGTACATTATGGAGATGTCTAACATCGCTGGGAAACTAAAGGCACTAAAGTTAGAGTTGTCTGAGGATTTGCTCGTGCATTTAGTTCTCATATCTCTTCCTGCACAATACAGTCAATTTAAGGTGGGCTATAACATCCAAAAGGAAAAATAGACTGTTAATGAGCTCATATCATATCATGTGCAAGAAGAGGAAAGGCTTCAGCGAGATAAGACTGAAAGTGCTCACTTGGCATCAACCTCTCAGAATAAGAACAAAAAGAGAGCTATGGATACTGCAAAAGGAACACCCAAGCAGAAGAAAGTAAAGAAACAGGATGAGAAATTCACCTGCTATTTCTACAAGAAAGGAAAGACTCTCATTATGGTTTGTTCTGAAGTTAATTTAGCTTATGTACCTAAGGATACTTGGTGGGTAGATTCTGGTGCTACTACTCACATTAGTATGTTTATGCACGGTTGCCTGTAGAGCCGACCATCAAATGATGCTGAAAGATTCATCTTCATGGGCGATGGCAAAAACGTTCCAGTTAAAGCTATCGGAACATTTAAATTATTATAAAGACTGGTGTCTATTTGGATTTGATTGAGAGTTTGGACAAATCTAGTTATTCTTGTTCTTTCAGAAATAATAAAGTTAGTCTTTCTCATAATTCAAATGTTGTTGGTACTGGTTCCTTAATTGACAATCTTTATATGCTTGATACTGTTACTTCTGATAATGAAATTTTGCACACTAGTGCACGAGGTACAAAACAAAAATTAAATGAGAATTCTGCCACCCTATGGCACAAACGTTTAGGTCATATCTCTAAACAGAGAATTCAGAGGCTTGTGAGTGATGGAATTCTTGGTCCCCTAGATTTGACAGACTTTCAAGTCTGCGTTGAGTGCATTAAGGAGAAACAGACAAACACAAGGAAATTAGGCGCCTACAAAGCTACAGACGTCTTAGAACTTGTTCATACAGATATATGTGGACCATTCCCTACGGCTTCATGGAATGGTCAACAATACTTCATTATGTTCATAGACGATTATTCAAGATACGGTTACCTATACTTAATACATGAGAAGCCACAGTTAGTGGACATTTTCAAGGAATTCAAAGCCGAAGTTGAACTTCAACTAGGCAAGAAAATTAAGGCTATCAAATCAGATTGTGGTGGCGAATACTATGACAGATATGACGGATCAGGTGAACAACATCCAGGACCATTCGCTATCTTCTTAAAAGAATATGGAATCATCCCGCAATACACAATGCCAGGCAAACCTAGCATGAATGGTGTTGCTGAGAGACGAAACAGAACTCTTAAAGACACGGTGAGAAGCATGATTAGTCATTCTTCCTTGCCTGAATCACTTTGGGAAGAAGCATTAAAGACTGCAGTTTATATCCTTAACAGGGTTCCAAGCAAAGCAGCGGCCAAAACCCCCTATGAACTATGGACTGGAAAGAAGCCTATCATTAGGCATTTACATGTTTGGAGTTGTCCACCTGAGGCAAGGCCTTATTGGCCAAATGAACAAAAGGCTGGACTCAAGAACGGTCAGCTGCTACTTTGTTGGATACGCCGAACGCTCTCGGGGATTCAAGTTTTACAATCCCACTATTAGGTCCTTCTTCGAGATAGGAAATGGGAGATTCCTTGTGGATGTCGAGTTTGGGGGAGAAGATAAAGTAAGGAGTGTTGTCTTTGAAGAAGAAGAGTTCGTTTCTCTTCCCAATATTGCTATTGTTAATGGCCAGGCCGTAATACCTGCCATTGTTCAAGATGCAACTCCAGAACAAGACAAGAATGAGGTTCCCCATGCAGCACCTATAGAGCAAACTCAACAACCTCAAAAAGTGCCATTAAGGAAATCCACAAGAGAAAAGAGAAGTGCGATTCCAGATGATTATGGGCATGTTCTTTTGTCCATAAAACTCAAAAAAAGACAACTCAAGTTTCAACTTTATTCAAGTTCACGTTCTTTTAAGTTTCAATTTTATTCAATTTTACTCAACTTTATTCAAGTTCTAACTTCAACTCAAGTTATAACTCAAATTCAACTCAAAAATTACACTCAAGTTACACTCCAAAAGAACAACCCTATCGTCTTTCTCCAAGAACATGAAGATGGTGTAGGCTTAGGGGAAGATGATCCTATCAACTTCCAACAAGCCTTACAGAGTTCCAATGCTCAAAAGTGGATTGATGCCATGAAGGATGAGATGAAATCTATGAAAGACAATGGCATTTGGGATCTTGTCGAGTTGCCTAAAAGAACGAAACCCGTAGGTTGTAAATGAATAGTTAAGACCAAAAAGGATTTGAAAGGTAACATCGAAAGATATAAGGCTCGTCTAGTCGCCAAAGGATTCACTCAGAATGAATGCATAGACTACAAAGAGACTTTCTCTCCGGTTTCTTCGAAAGACTCTTTTATGACAGTTATGGCACTTGTGGCTCATTTAGACTTAGAGTTACATCAGATGGATGTTAAGACGACGTTTCTCAATGGCGACATTGATGAGATGATTTATATGGTCAAGCCAGAAAACTTTGTATATGGATATTCAAAGTCTATGGTCTGCAAGTTAAAGAAGTCCATCTATGGTCTCAAACAGTCTTCCCGTCAATGGTATCACAAATTTCATCAAGTTATCACTTCTTATGGTTTTGAGGTGAATGTGGTCGATGATTGTGTATATCACAAGTTCAGTGAGAGTAAATTCATAATAATAATAATAAAAATAACAATAATTATAATAATAATAACAATAACAATAATAATAATCACAATAACAATAACAATAATAATAATCACAATAACAATAATACTAATAATGATGATGATGATGATCATCATAACAACAACAACAATAATAATAATAACAACAATAATAACATTAATAATAATAATAATAATAATAATAATAATAATAATAATAATAATAATAATAATAAGGCTAATAATAATACTGATGCTAATAATGATGCTAATAATAATACTGATGCTAATAATAATAATGATGCTAATAATGCTAAAGGCACCAACTTAAATCCCAACTTTTATGTACTAACATGTACATGAGGTGTCACTTTTGTATTAGTAGATATTTAAAATATTATCAAGTCAATTAATAATAAGAGACAACTCACATGCCATATCAATTGATACACAAGAATTCAAACTTGAGTTGGTGTCTCTCACATTACTACTTTCATAAGAGAAATCATCAGAAATAAAAAAAAAGGAAGCATCAAATTCCTAATTCAAGTTGTAGCAAAGCCCAAATCTTGACTTGCGGAAGTTGGAAAACATAAAAGAAAGAAGAATAATTCATGTTCGTTTCATTAATTTGAATCACAACTCAAATTTTTATTAGTGTTTTTTCTCATACAAATTCAAATTATTTTTATACTACAATATTTTTCTTCATATGAATTCAAGTTGACTCGAGTTAAAAACCCAAACTAATGAAGCGAACGAGAATAGACTCACTAAAAGTAGCAAAAAAAAAAAAACCAACATCTAGGGTATTGTATTGCAACGAGCCATTGGCACTAACGCAAAATGTCAACAAAAAAAAAATCCGAGTCTAGAAAAGAAAAGCAGTCAATGGAAGATTAAGGCTTAGTTTGGCAATACTGTAGATTTTAGAAAAATTACTTTTAGCTGTGCTGAAGGAAAAAGCAGTTACAAAAAGCAACTGAGTGTTTGGTAAACTATAATTATAGTAGCTGTGGTGGTTCCAAAATTAGTATAATAGCGTTTGGTAAATTATGAGGTTAAATTGTTGTGAATAATTAACTATTACGACTATATTATATTATACTATAATATAATATATATTTATTATTATATTTAATATAATACCAAAAAAGCTATTATTATATAATATATTATATAATTATGATATAGAATATAATAATATTATTAAAATAATAACTGAAATAATTAAAAATAATGATTATATTATATTATACTATAATATAATATATATAATTACAATATAATGCATATTTATTATTATATTTAATATAATACAATAAAATTATTATTAAATAACATATTATATAATTATGATATAGAATATAATAATATTATTAAAAT